CGCCGGAAGCTGCTGATCGGAGCCCGGCTCATTCATCTGGATCCTCGGCAAGGCCCGCCTCCTCTGGGCCACATCTGGGAGCGGTCGTCCAACAGGAGGGGGGCTCTCCCTCAGACCCCTTCACGATCAAGTCCTTCCTGTTCTTCTCCAGGCTGAAGATGCGCCTTGGAACTCCCACATATCGTCTCACCGAGGGACTACCCTGACGAGATCGTGAGTTTGGCCCTTAGGGCCTCCCCGGTTTGTCGACATTCTAGGTTGAGACTGCTCCGGCTTGCCCTTTTGGGTTTCATCCCGGGTTGGGGGGGGGTCTCTTCCAGGACTTAGGAATCGGGACTTTTTGCTGCCGCAGCCTATTTTGGGTCCATATGATGGTAATTGGGTCTACGTTGGGTGGCATTGGGTGATGGTTTCCTTGGGCTCCAGGTGGGAGGTTGACCCGGTGGGCCTGGTTGGGTGGAGGGGGGTTGGCCCCTATGGTTCTCCGGGTTTCTATGGGGAGGTTATCGCGGAGGTTCCTGCTCCTGGGACTTTTAGTTTATTAATATTTTACTATATTCTATTAAGTTCATTGCCTTTTTGCCCCCTGAGGGCTTCTGTTTTGATGTTTCCATTTGCAGCCATGTGTCCGGTGGTAGAGTTACCCCTAACTGTATCCTTCATGTGTTGGATGCACGTCACTATTGGTGTGACACAATTGCACTGTTGTGTATATTTTTTGTGTCTTTTTCCTTTTTTCTTTCTTTGTTCTTCTCTTTTTTCTGTTTTTTTTTTTTTTTTGTTTTCTGCAGGGTTCCGGGACGCCATGGTCCGATCGCCATTGGGAGTGGAAATTGCTGGCTACTTTGGGCTTTTTTCTGCTGAGCGTGTTGCGTTGATACCGCCATGGCCTCACCCCTTTTGAAAATACATTCACAAAATGTTCAAGGCTTCAATTCGCCTCAGAAACGGGCTAAAGTTTTTCATCACCTCAAGTCGCAACAAAATTGATGTGGTATGTCTACAGGAGACCAGGTTTTCTCAGTCCTCCGCTCCGCGTTATCTTTCACCTCACTATCCCATCTTTTACACGGCCTCGGCTCCTGAGAAGTGTCAGGGTGTTCTGATAGCTTTTAAACGCAATCTCCCCTTTGTCTGTGCTCGGAATATAGCGGACCCCACGGGCAGGTATTTGCTTCTGCAAGGCACCTTCTGGGACCAGGAGGTTACCTTTGTCTCTTACTACGCGCCTAACCGTTTCCAGCATAAATTCTTTTAGCATCTTTGCACCATTGTTTCTCGACACTCTAAGGGTCTTCTTCTTGTTATGGGGGATTCGAATGTTACCTTGGATTCCACACTGGATAGGCGCTACGCACAGGGAGCGACCCCCTCTCATGACTTGGTGCTGGAGGAACGCATGCGCTCTCTTTTGCGGACGGCGGGGCTAGCGGACGTCTGGAGGGAACTTCATCCAACTGAATGCGACTTTACGTTCTATTCTAATCCTCATGACAGTTTTTGTAGAATTGATCATATATTCATGCAGGTCCAGCAACTCCCCTTGGTCCGGCAGATAACTATTCCCTCCTCACCCTGGTCAGACCATGATCCTTTGGTACTCCTCCTTGCCCTTTCTGGGTCAGAACGACGCCCTTGTCATTGGTGCATCCATGACTCTTTACTGACCACTCAGGCTACCTGCCAAGAAATAGAATTCTTCTTACGGACATACTTTACGGAAAACTCAGGATCGGTCTCTTCAGCAGTGCCCTTATGGGAAGCGCATAAGGCCATGGTGCGGGGGTCATGTTATACAGCTGGCTGAAGTCCGGAAGTGGGAGCGGGAACGCCGACTCTTGGAGCTTCATTCTCTCCTGGCCTCTGCGGATGCGCATTGGAAGTCATCTCCATCCGTGGCCCATAAACGCGCTCGGGACGCTCTGGCGACAGAATTGGACCTCCTTGCCTCTTCGGAGGCGGAATGGGCCTTGCGTTGGACCAAACATAAATTCTATTCCTGTGCTAATAAGCCCGGTCCCATGCTAGCCAGGAAACTCAATTCTGTGGGGAAACCCCATAAACCGTTTCGGCTTCGACTTTCCACGGGTGGCTGTACTTCTAATCCTCAGCAGATTGTTTCCCGATTCTCGGACTTCCTTTCGCGTCTCTATGCTGCCCCAGATCCCTTCCCTGTGGCCCAGGCAGAGGCATTCTTTCAGGACCTCCATCTTCCTAGATTAACCGAGGCAGCACAGGCGGCCCTTAACGCAGGTGTCAATGTACCGGAAGTGCTACAAGCAATCAAATCTTTACGGTCCACCGCGGCCCCAGTTCCAGACGGCTTCTCCGGAGTGTTGTTGTGTTAGAACTGGAAGTAAGTTACTGGTAGAACACCCAGATGGAAATAAATGGAAACAAAAGGCAACCAGGGCCGGTTGATGCTCGTTTTACTAATCAGTTCAGGATCAGAAACTTCTTGTATTTCAATGGTTTTTATTAACTTTAAACGTTTTAAACAAAAGGCTCGCACACGCACGGGCTATCAATGGCACATAAGGTACCCCCAAATGTAATTGTAAAACACTTTTCTTCTTTCTGTCCCTCTTCTGTTTTTTTCGCTCTTTGGGTACCTTTTCTTTTATTCACTTCTACCCTTTTAACCTGTCCCTCTTCTTAGTCTGCAACTCAATATAATTTATTGAAATATGGATGAATATATATATAAGCCTGCGCTAATAAGAACCACAATAGATAATCAATAATCAAAAATGAGGTGTAAAACATATAGCAGCTGAACACAAAAACCCTGATACTAGGCAATCAACAATAAATACATAAAAGTGCAGCGCTTAAAAAGTTACAAATAATCATAAGAAAACAGTTAAAAATGTGTAATAAAAAATTCCATCCAAAAAGAAAAGTCCCAGAGGCTGTGATGAAGCAAAAGAAAACCAAGGACAATTGTTCTGTCACCAACCACTACTACAGAAGGCTTACCAGAAAGGCATGACCCCCTGTTAAGAGTGGTCAATCACACTTTGTTAAACAATCCAGAAAGCCAGTCACTCGAATCCTCCTCCAGATCACCAAAACAGCAGACAAGGATCTTCCAAACAATGGACCTTAATTAGGGTAGCTAAACTATTCAGGATAAGGCTTTGACAATTAGGTTAACATTAGGTTAGGTTAGTGGAAAACATGCAAAGAAAGAACGCTCCACATAGTGTAAAACCATAATCACAACATTTATTAAGTATCTATAAGGAGGAATATAAAAGAGAAGCCTTGATATTAAAATCAAGATTTCTTGATAAGGGTTACAAAGCGGATGTTTTGGATAAATTAATCTGTGAAGTGGGTCAATACAATCGCAAGGATTTGATCAACAACTCAGAGGTAGCCCAGGATGGTGATGACCGATTTGGTTCAGCTTTTTTCACTTCTTTTTAAAAGCCAACATTATACCCAAAGAGAGAAAAACAGAAGAGGGACAGAAAGATGAAAAATGTTTTACAATTACATTTGGGGGTACCTTATGTGCCATTGATAGCCCCTGCATGTGCGAGTCTTTTGCTTCAATCCTTCTTTGTTTAAACGTTTAAAGTTAAAAAAAAAACATTGAAATACAAGAAGTTTCTGATCCTGAATTGATTAGTATACAAGAACAACCTAAAACGAGCATCAACCGGCCCTGGTTGCCTTTTGTTTCCATTTATTTTCATCTGGGTGTTCTATCAGTAACTTACTTCCAGTTCTAACACAACAACACTCATTTACTGCACTGTATGATGACAACAGAAACAAGATAAAACTACTCCTATTCCAGGGGTTCAGTGTAAATGGAAAGAGCCAGCACAAGCTGAAGGCACAGAAAGTTAACAGCTCAAACTTAGTGGGTATTTATTTTAGTTTATCAATCATATGTAACAAAACTTTCAATATATTTAGCAGACCAAAAGGGAGAAGATATTACATTTTTATTTTAGGGTTTCAATACGCTTTAATTGGGCAAAATAGAGATAAGGGTAAACTAGCTGTGAAAAGTAAAGCTGGCCACACAGAGTGAATCTGAGCTGGTTCCCAATGAATTAGTCAAAATTTGCATTGTGGGTGGCCCTTTCGGCACCCTGCCACCCGTCATCTTTCCGTTGTTAGCCGAACAATGGTTGCATCCAATCAAATGCAGCTCCTCTTTGTATATTCTGACAGCAGCCACCTGTCAGAGTACAATAGTTGGTACTGCAGATTTGTCCATCTGCACTGTATAGCTAAAGGCTGCAGGCCGCATAATCAGTGTATGGTCAGCTTACGAATCCCTCTAAAATGATTCTAAGGAGCATCAGTGATGGCTTCAACCACAAGGGGCATTATGAGTGCAAGTGTATAATTTGAATGCATCACGCTCTGCAGTTTGTGTAGTCTGGCTGGAGCATCACATATGTTCATCAATATATCAGTCAAGGACACAGAGACTTATTTTTTTTACAATATACTTTCAGTAAAGAAATGTTAACCTAATTGGCTTTTAACAACTATCAAATGGATTTGCACAGTCTTATATGTATAACTCTTTGAAACAAACCTGTACTAGACTCTCTTTCTTATACCAAGAAGAACACTGAATGAGAAAGCAAAAACATCCACTTGAACCAAGGCTATAACAAGTAACTTTGTTGTTACTCAACAGAGTTAAAGGATAATGAAATCACACTTAACCGCTTTAATACCAGGCACTTTTACCCACTTCCAGTCCAGGCCAATCTTCAGCTTTCAGCACTGATGCACTTTGAATGACAATTGCATGGTCATGCAACACCGTACCCATATGAAATTTTTATAATTTTTTTACACAAATAGAGATTTCTTGGTGGTATTTAACCTCCCTGGTGGTATTCCCAAGTGTAGCTCGGGGTAAAGTTTCAGTACCACAAGCGGTAGCCTCGAGCTACACTCGGGAATACCATGCAGCATTGCTCAGGGATTCTCTGCAGCACTTACCTTGTCTTGCTCTCCCGCGTTGTCCCCTGCAGCGTCCCCAGCCATCTCCTCCAGCAGATACCGGCATCTGTCTTCCGTGTTCCGGTCCTTGCAAGCATCAGGACGTACGGGACGTACAGGGGCCAGAACCGGTGGGAAATTTTAAAAACTGACATTCACTAATGCACTAAAATCACATAGTAAAACATTACTGTATCAAAGCATTTCACATACATTTTGTCCCTAGTGCTTTGTCCTGTGCCCTGCCTGCATTTTTACCATCCTTTCTGCCTGGAAACTTAGAAAAGTCCATGGCGTCCAAAAAGCGTCCCTTTAGGTCAAAATCGGTTTTAGACCAGCTAGAGAACAGCGATAGTAAATCAGAACCACTTGCAGAATTGAGTGATAATGATTTGTGGGGAAATTCGTCATCAGACACTGAAAACAATTCTGCGACTGAGCTCAGCGATGTGCGAACTTGGCACTATATTTAAAATTTCAGTGTTTTTGGTTTGATTATATTATTGAATTAAAATTATTATTATATATTTTTTTTTTATGATTATTTATTATATTATAATTTATGATTTTGTGTTTCAAGTTTTATCCTACCCGGGATGTTTACTAGATTCTTGTTTGGACAGATTTCAGTGAGTTATTCCTAAAAATTACAGGCCTACAATAAAAAAACAACATATTTCCATGCAAAAAAATGTACCGCTTTGAGCACAGAAATGCTAACATAATCATACTGCTATGGAGGTTAATCACCACTGTGTTTTTTATTTTTTGCTAAATAAACAAAAAAAAAGACTGAACATTTTTAAAAAAAAAAAAAAACAAGTTTTTCATTGTTTCTGTTATAACATTTACAAATAAATAATTGTTCTTCATAAATTTAGGCTAAAATGTATACTGCTACATTTCGTTGGTGAAAATAACCCAATTCAGTGTATATTATTTAGTCCGTAGGAAAATTAGAGTCCACAAACTATGGTGCGTGTGTGTGTGTGTATATATATATATATATATATATATATATATATATATATATATACACATTGCCAAAAGTATTCGAACACAAGCCTTTCAATGCAAATTAACTTTAATGACATCCTAGTCTTAGTCTGTAGGGTTCAATATTGAATCGACCCACCCTTTGCAGCTATACCAGCTTCAGCTTTTCTGGGAAGGCTGTCCACAAGGTTCAGGAGTGTGTCTATGGGAATGCTTGACTATTCTTCCAGAAGTGCATTTGTGAGGTCAGGCACTGATGTCGGACGAGAAGGCCTGGCTCACAGTCTCCACTCTAATTCATCCCACAGGTTCTATCAGGTTGAGGTCAGGACTGTTCAGACAGTTGGAGACTTCTGTGCGCTTCAGCATGCACTGACCCCACTCTGTCATTTTACATGGCCTCCCACTTCGTGGCTGAGTTGCTGTTGTTCCCAGTTGCTTCCACTTTGTTATAATACCACTAGCAGTTGACCGTGGAATATTTAGTAGCAAGGAAATTTCATGGATGGACTTATTGCACAGGTGGCAAATATCGCAGTACCACACTTGAATTCGCTGAGCTCCTGAGAATGACCCATTCTTTTACACATGATTGCAGAAACAGTCTGCACGCCTAGGTGCTTGATTTTATATACCTGGGGCCATGGAGGTGATTGTAACACCTGAATCCAATGATTTGGAGGGGTGTCCAATACTTTTGGCAATATATAGGTGAAACTCGAAAAATTAGAATATCGTGCAAAAGTTCATTTATTTCAGTAATGCAACTTAAAAGGTGAAACTAATATATGAGATAGACTCATTACATGCAAAGCAAGATAGTTCAAGCCGTGATTTGTCATAATTGTGATCATTATGGCTTACAGCTCATGAAAACCCAAATCCACAATCTCAGAAAATTAAAATATTGTGAAAAGGTGCAATATTCTAGGTCTCTCAGTTTGGTTCAGTAGGAATCAAAATCATGGGAAAGACTGCTGACCTGACAGTTGTGCAGAAAACCATCATTGACAGCCTCCATAAGGAGGGAAAGCCTCAAAAGATAATTGCAAAAGAAGTTGGATGTTCCCAAAGTGCTGTATCAAAGCACATTAATAGAAAGTTACGTGGAAGGGAAAAGTGTGGAAGAAAAAGGTGCACAAGCAGCAGGGATGACCGCAGCCTGAAGAGGATTGTCAGGAAAAGACCATTCAAAAGTGCTGGGGGCTTTCACAAGGAGTGGACTGAGGCTGGAGTAAGTGCATCAAGAGCCACCACACACAGACAGATCCTGGATATGGGCTTCAAATGTCGTATTCCTCTTGTCAAGCCGCTCCTGAACAACAAACAACGTCAGAAGCGTCTTACCTGGGCTAAAGAAAAACAGACCTGGTCTGTTGCTCAGTGGTCCAAAGTCCTCTTTTCTGATGAGAGCAACTTTTGCATCTCATTTGAAAACCAAGGACCCAGAGTATGGAGGAAAAATGGAGAGGCACACACTGCAAGATGCTTGAAGTCCATTGTGAAGTTTCCACAGTCTGTGTTGATTTGGGGAGCCATGTCTTCTGCTGGTGTTGGTCCACTGTGCTTCATTATGTCCAGGGTCAACGCAGCCGTTTACCAGGAGATTTTGAAGCACTTCATGCTTCCTTCCGCAGACGAACTTTATGGGGATGCTGACTTCATTTTCCAGCAGGACTTGGCACCTGCCCACACTGCCAAAAGCACCAAAACCTGGTTCAATGACCGTGGGATTACTGTGCTTGATTGGCCAGCAAACCCGCCTGACCTGAACCCCATAGAGAATCTATGGGGCATTGCCAAGACAAAGATGAGAGACATGAGACCGAACAATGCAGAAGAGCTGAACGCCGCTATTGAAGCATCCTGGTCTTCCATAACACCTCAGCAGTGCCACAGGCTGATAGCTTCTATGCCACACCGCATTGAGGCAGTAATTGCTGCAAAAGGGGCCCAAACCAAGTACTGAGTACATATGCATGCTTATACTTTTCAGAGGGCCGATATCGTTCTATGTACAATCCTTGTTTTATTGATTGCTTGTAATATTCTAATTTTCTGAGATTGTAGATTTGGGGTTTTCATGAGCTGTAAGCCATAATCATAACAATTATGACAAATCACGTCTTGAACTATCTTGCTTTGCATGTAATGAGTCTATCTCATATATTAGTTTCACCTTTTAAGTTGCATTACTGAAATAAATGAACTTTTGCACGATATTCTAATTTTTCGAGTTTCATCTGCATATATATATATCTCTCTGAAAATCGATCAGTCCTAATGTACTGACGTCCTCATCTCATTTCTTGAGACCCGAAAATGCCAGAACAGTACAAATATCCCCCAAATGACTCCTTTTGGTATTTAGTAAGAGGCATGGCAAGTTTTTTGAAGTTGTAAGTTTTTCTCACAATTTTTTGGAAAATTAAGAAATTAAAAAAATCTAGATTTTTTGCACAATTTTTAAAAAACTTTTTACATGCTGTCACCAGTGCAGTACATTGGCATCACATAACTGACGTGGCAGTGATCAGGGACACTGACTGGTGACCATATGTCACCAGTTTTACATACTGTAACCAGAGCAGTACAGTGTCACCATATTTTTTTTTTTCAATTGTTTAAGTATTTTTTTTGTTTACTATTTTTTTTTAACAAATAGTGACCAGAGCAATAAATTGTTACCACAGTAACACTGTACTACTCTGGGGAGGTGGTCAAGACTTTTTTTTACACACTATGATTGCTAGTAACAGAATTTTACAGATATAAGCAACCATTTTTTCTGAATGAAAACTATTCATTCAGTATTTACAATTTTGATTAGCTGTGATTGGCCACAGCTAATTACATGGTACAGATGGGCTGTGATTGACCCTGTCTGTACCATGTAATCACTGTGACCATCACTGGTCACAAATCAAAACCTTTCATTGCGTACAATTGTCATGTGATATGCTGTGATTGGCCACAATGATCACATGATACTGGCAGTGGGCTGGTACAGTGATCTGTCATCAGCTGTGTCCAGTGGACACAGCGGTGACAGATCACACTGGAGCATAGCCGTGTGGCGCAATTCTGGGAGGACGCAATATGATGTCTTTCCAGGATAATAAGACACCAGCAATGCTGTCATATTGCAATAGGCTGGGCAGAAAGAGGTTAAAGTGTGGAATGCCTGCTCCTGCACCTGGAATGTAGCATAGTAGCTCTCTGGGGGAATCATAGGTCATGGTAGGAGGAGCAGGTATTCGACACATCTGGAATTCAGATACCTGCAGTAGTTTAGTTAAAAATATGCGGCACTCCCTCTATATCAGCCTTTAGAACTCAGTATATCAACTGCGCATACAAAAATCACATATAAAACGCATTTGTCAATCTTCCTTGAATAATAGTGAAAATAAAAAGTCTATTGTAGACTTTTAAAGTCTAAATCCTGGTATAATAATAAAATTCAAAAGTCCTAAAACCACATATCAGTGTAAACAGATAACTTCCTCCACTCCGTGTTTTATTGGATATGCATTAAACACCATCATGCACCATGGATTCCATCACCGTTATTGCAATGCTTTCACCTCCAGCTATGGACCTAAGAACATATGTTGTTATGTCTCTACAGGCATTTTCCCCTCTGGGGATTTAGTTATGGTCCCAGTCAGGGGTGGACTGACAACTGATGGGGCCCCTGGGCAATAGGGGATCATGAGGCCCCTGCAGGGGCGGACGGACAACTCATGGGGCCCCCGGGCAATAGGGGATCATGGGGCCCCTGTGTCCTTGCTCACACTCAAAAAAACCTGTAAAAAAGGTACCAGGGGCATTTCATGGGGCCCCCTACTGACCCTGGGCCTTTGGGCAATGCCAGAGTGCTCGAATGGTCAGTCTGCCCCTGGGCTCCTGTGTCCTTTCCCAAACTCAAAAAAGCCTATGATAAAGGAACTAGGGGCATCTCATGGGGCCCCCTACTGACCCCGGGCCCTCGGGCAGTTTCCAAATGGTCAGTCCACCCCTGGTCCCAGTCCCCTCCTTTCTCAGCCTTAGCAACAATCTTCACCTCAACCGGACAACTGATAAATGTCTTTTTAAGAGGCCCCCAGCCTCTTCCTCATCCGCTGTCAGTGCACTCAAAGAAACATAGAGTGCCTCTCATAGTATAGTATTTAAAAATACCAACATTTATTATAAGTATCGCACTTTCATTGAATCAATGGTAGAAGCTCCTTTAAGAATAAATGACTTGTACAGTCATAATCCAGCTCTTCTGTGGCATCCGACACCTGGCTTCTCCCATGTGTTACATCATGCCCCACATGACTTCATCAGGGAAGATTGATAAATACATTTTATATATGAGTTTTGTATGCACAGTTG